CATGACCCCGATAATTCCGTGGCTGGAGTCTCATCGTCGTAGTCAATCAATTTGATTTTTTCGAGGTCTGAATCCTTCAGCTCATAGGTTGCAGCCGATTCAGGATCAATGGCTTTAATAGTAACAACAACAGGGACCTGCATGTGGCCATTGGCATAGAGAGTATCCGTGACAGCATCTGCTGTGGTGGTCTGAACCTGAAGGAAAGAAACTTCCCAGGACGCATCGGAAGTTGAGGACATGGTGTAGATATGACTCAAAGATGATAGAATTGATGGTACTGGTGAAAACGGGCTCTGATGATGCGAAGATGCATTGGTGTTTCTTTGAAAAGCTTTTATAGTTTCAGGAAACATACAATTTGAAGGATGACGTATCGTCTCGGTTTTCAGCTCGAGTTAACATTTGCTTTGCTGCGCTCAGCTCCGAATAGTATATGTCTTTCGGGATTTGGCCCAGTCGATATAACTGGACCTTTATGTTTTAGCTCCGTTGCAAGTGGAGCCTGCCAAGCTGAAACCATGAGGGACTTTCTTCACTTCCCCTCAGCAGGCTCAGCTGCGCCCGGAGCACACATGCATGTCGGATGCTCTGAACCTTTGCCACACCTATTCCCCATGCCTCATTGGTGAGCGCGCCCAAGCAATATCGACGGCAAAAAGGAGATTCTTTGCCACGGTCAAGGTCTCACTTTCAATACTGGTATTGGAAGGAAGTCATCTATACGGGCAATGTTCAATCATTACAATACTGCATAGTGATTCCGTTCGCACAGAAAAATTGTCTATTATCAATACAGCGTATAGTATCCGTCTAGATTTTTGATGTTATTATGTAGGCTGCTAACCGCTCACTTACCGAGTTTTACCCAGGATGTCCTTACTAGTGGTTCAGCTAGCAGGGCTAACAGCGGCACCTACTACGTACCTAGCTTAATGCAGCCTGTGACCCAAACACCAATATGGTGGGGTAGACACGATCGAATCGGCGGATCAACCCTTCAACCACCTCATTATGATCAAGGGCCACGCTCTAAAAGATTCGTATCTTGAAGATTTTGCGGCTACTGTTACAGTGAATCCGCGCGCTTGATCTCGGAGACACGCAATCACTCGCATGGGGACATGTGTACCCTGTGCGAAGCATTGAATGGGGCCTGAAATTTGTCTATAATTACCTGAGATCATTATAATTGGAATAGGGGTATTATTGAATTTCTCCAGTATCTTCCAGTGCCTAGCTCTCCTCTTTCTAGCTGCGTGCGTTAAAGATAATATATCCCTCGTGCGGTTACTATGCAGAGTCTGTCTCTAACAGCATGGATAGACCGACGTCAACCTGTCTCTCTAGGTTTCATCCTCGCCGAGCAATACGTCCAGCAGCCGGTCATACCAGTGAGACTGTTCCACGTACTGTATGGGCGTGCCGAAGAGGGTGAAGTTAGTAAGACTCTTGAGGGCCATGGTTCATGTTTGGTGCACCCTGTTGCTGCTGCTGACCTGGGAACATGTGCGGAGAAGGCTGTTGGGGGGAGTGCCGCTAACATATCAGGGATTCCCTCTGCCGACTTAATAACAACTTCTCCCCGGTCGGTTAGATTCTGATTATTGTCGGAGCCTTACATAGCACAATCCCAGGCTAGTTTGAATACGAGTTCTATATAAACTTCGCGCTCAGGAAGAGCTACTAGGAGCGGGCCGACATCGACATAGTTATAAACAATACGGTTGGGCTTATGGAAGTCGGGACACCTAGCCAATGTAAACGGTTATGTTAGCTCTTAACTTCTCTGGAATGGACACCGGCTGTTATAGGTGGGGATAGAACACAGTAGATAATGCACGATCAAAAACTCCCAATGGCCAGAGGCGCCAAGAGAAGCAGAGCTCTGAACAACTTCCAGACATCGTCATCCAGAAGGGACCTTTTCGTTGAGGCATAGGTGAATGTCGGCTTGGGGGAGAATTGATGATTTGGTTTCAGCGGCTGATATACTGGCATGTTTGACTTCATTGTGTGATAAGTCAGGAGTGTCTTGAGTCTGAGGGGCGTGAGTGAGTAAAAGGGATGTTTTAGATGAGAGGGTGAAGTGCTTGAGTCTCTAACTGGAGATGAGCAAGTTCATTCTGTCACCTTAGCCAATGATGATGCGCATGGACAAAAACTGGATCCAGCAGCTATCGCGCCGGGCCTCAATGATAGGGTGGTCGATTTTGTGGTCGCAAAATCGACCACCTACCACAGGGAACGCATAGGGTGATTGCTGGCTTGATCTACTTGGAGCTGCGAAGCTACATCACTTGGCGTCTTTCTATTATTTGGCCATAATATAAACTCTATTAGATAGAGAACTGTTACTTTTAAGAAGAATTATTTGATTATTCTGAGTCCTAGTCCATGTCTTTATCCAGAACATTCTAGTATCACTCTGTATTGTTGACAACAGCTGACCTTCTACAGTAAATATTGGCTGAATATAGGTGGCACGACTTGCATCATAAACTGCTTTACCGACCAAATGGTCCAAGGCTGAGCAGTAAAGACCTAGATTCTGAATGAATCTATCGCTGGCAACGCCAGAGTCTAACAACGCAAGCCCTGCTGCTGCTCCAACCCGGCTCCGTTTGTCCGACTGGGGGGACTTCCCCAATCCCGCAACACCATCATGGAGACGCAGTCATGCCCGAATCAACGAAAAATTGATATTAGGCTGGCTTCATCGTGGAATTCGATTAGTACGGGGCTCTGATTTTGCTGTACATGCAGTTTCTACTTCATGTACCACCGCACGAAGCACTTTGAACATATTCTATGACAACCTGGATACTAATCAGAGTGATGTGACGAATACTATAGTAGAAACTACAAGTAAGCGTATGAACCGAGACAAAGGCCATATACCGCCCACCCCTCGGGACACACAGACGCTCAGGTGAGCTAATGTAACTCTCATATCAGCATTACTTTTAACTCATTAGCGCTTCACCCCGCTTTACCTTCCCTACTAGGGCAGGAAGATTCAAGATCATCAGGGCAGTGTTGCGCCACCCAGAGAACGTGTGAGCTGGTGGGGGCGTATAGATCCATAATTCTTATTGGATTTGAATTTCGCAGAGAAAATAGACTGTAGTACATGGGCTGTCACTTTCGAGATCCTGATAGCAACCAGAGGTACCAGTGTGGCTTAGTAGACCTTTCGGTGCTCACACGGGCGGTGCACGTGGTACCATTCCGGTCGAGGCCGTCATCATTCGTTATTGTCGGTTACCGTTCGCCTATAAAATGAGACCGATTATCCTTACCCTGCAATTCTTTTACTGTTTTCTTAACAGACACTCCCAGCAGACCTGACCATGGAAGCGTGCAGTTCATCAATGCCGAATTTGGTCTTCAGGTGCCTTTCAGCGGCAATGCCCTATTTGAAAGACGAGGACTGGCGTGTTTTTACATACGTCCTCTTCTTTGCAGCCCTGTTCGCGTCTTTTATACTATTCATATTCAAACTGAAGTATGCTCCCATTCCTATTGCGACATCGGACTTATGGCTAACGGCATTGATTGTACTCATATAGTCACTAGGCGCAGTCTGAAATGTGTCATTTGCCAAACCAGCAATGTCGGTACACTTCTTAGAGTACTGTTACTCAGTATCATGGTCGTGCAATCTAATTACATCTTGTGGACTTTCAACCACTCGTTAGCTTTCTTGGACTGACGGGGCGTTCACTGTTGCTACGAATTTCATACCTTCACACAGGATTTTGCAATAGTTTTATTGCTAACTTGATCTGCCCTTTCAATACTTTTGTCTTTCCAGTGTTTTCTTGAATAAGTCATCTGTCCGGGAAGTCGAATATGCTTCATACTCTTTGAGCTCGTTGTTGGAGTTGTTTCTTTGTCAATGAATCATCACGCATCCTCAATAGATGGCACAACTGCCCCAATACTATCAGGCCAGTAGTGCCACGGGCCAATTACGAGAGTACGGAATTTGTCCATCTTTCCAACAGATGTTCTTAGATCTTATGGCAGCAAGTTGCAACCAGCAGCTAAGGATTGTCTACGATAACAGATAGATGCTCCGTGACAGTGAAACTAGTAGATGGGAGTGTAATATAATAACCAGTACAGACATGCTTCCTGAAACATGGTCGACGGAACTACTTTTAGGCTTGGCATGATTTTGGACAAGGTCCCCCAAGCTACCGATTCAAATTGAGATCGCGCAATCCAACCACGCCTGAGGCCAGCAGCCTTCCTGATGGGGTCCCTACTTCCTCCGCAGTGGCTGTCTAAGCACGCGCTCTATCCAAGGCTAGAGGACTATCCACCATAATACTTCATCCTCCGAATCCGACATCCCACCCTACATCGTCCCAGCTCTTCTTTCTATTGATGAAAGAAGATCCCATGGGATGACCAGGAAGAAAGACTTGCCCACGAACAAGTGGATACTTCGACGGCTGATAAACTAACAATTTCGATCTAGTTGACATGTGTTTTGGTCATACCTTGTCCAGACAGACGACGAACACGTCAGGATAGACGACCCAAACACGCTCCACTGAAGTGGGCGAGGCAGCACACCCCAAGGAGAAAGAACAACAACATAGGAAGCAGGAAGTGGTAAACCGGAAAGCAGACAGAGGAGAAGATGTCGCTGGCAATTAGCTGGCAATTAGCTGTCCAGTTGCGACATGTTCTATTCGTTTCTTTTTCTCGATTCTATTTGAGTGGCGTGGTTAGCTGCGGTGGCAGCATACGCTCTTAGGGGTAATTTTCCGAATTTGAGGAATCCGCCGGGGCTAAGCCATCCTCTCGCTTCAAAGATAAGGCACTTTAAGGATAAGATCTTTCATGGTAGGGCTCGATCAGGTATGAGAGTATAATATAGAGTACACTGATACGTACAACGAGGTAAGAGCGAGTGAACGGCTGGCACCTCCTAAAGCGACAACGTGCCTTGCAATGACGACTTGAGCATAGTTCGGACAGACCCAAGCAGAACAAACAAATCACCACCTACAATATTCCCCAGCACCCGTAAAGGAGCCCTCCAGGGAAACGTATTGTCGTCAGTCATGAGCTTTTCTTTTCATCCTTATCCGAGATCCTCTACCCTAGGATCCCCTAGACCCTGTCGAAGATGACTTGGACACGATATCCTTGTTGAAGAGCCCCTTCGATGCCTTGCATCAGTCCACTCATATCGCCACTGGTGTACGCAATGTAGATAGACTCGGGAGATCGTGGACTAGGTAGACGAACGAAGTTAGTCTTAGACACCGTGTCGTCGCACGTTATGATAGGAATGGAATTAGTACATAATGTAGCCATTGGCCATAAGGTAGATGAATGCGAGAAAGCCCACAATGATGAGCATAATTTTCTTGGTTGTAGGATCAAAGGAGGTATCCATTGTGGGCGACAATGGGTAAGGATCGTAAGAGTATACCAAGGGGGGTTGCGATCTCGGTATTTCTTCCTGTATTGTTTTGGTGCGCAATAAATGAAGGCTTTGGGATTATACGTCCAAAGGCTTTGAGGCGATAGGGAGAAGTGAGTAGGGGGAAGTTAGAAGGTGGAGACGAGGAGTAGAAAGGGGAAGGGAGAAGGGAGACCGTGCCAGGTTCCTTGAATCAAGTACACCGGCAGCGCCACCGCGAGTGGTCATGATGGCGTCGATGGAAAAGCGGATCAGCAAAAAATTATGTCAATAGAACTGTTCAATGTGAGTCATTGTTCTCAAAATGCTAGTCTTGTTATCATCGTTCCGTAATGCCGTCGGTGTATGCGATGTTCGTATCTAACGGGTCGTTTTTGGAAGGAACATGCTGCGCGGCGTTATGATTCAACCATTATGACGACCGAAGAGCTACCGCCAAGGCCTAGGTAGGTACGACTTCGTATGTGGAAAGTAAGATTGGAGGACTGGAGCTCTTTAGCACGGAGCAGCCCATTGCCGACTTGGATAAGAAGGCAAAGATATCTCCTTCATCTCCGGTCATCTCTAGCATTTCACATTTTGCGACCCTACTTGCGTAGAGGTGCATTACTCTTTCCAGACCCACCGCAGCTGGATCCATCATGCTGCCTCCTGGAAAGAAAGTGTAATGTAACGGTCAGCTGGGGTACCTGCTGTGCCGATAATCGCAATCCGAAACATAATACCAAAGAGTTCTCCTGTGGACACTAATTAGCCTTCCATCACTGACCGCGCTTTGCAATTGTGGACTTTTCTTATACCCTTTCGCGGCGCAGATGAACACTATCAGATACAATGGAACTGAATGAGCAGCAGATGTCCAATATACTGACTCTGGCTGTATAGTCGCTAGCTAATACCGCATACCAAACATGCCTCTTAAAGGCGAGAGCAAAGTGCGCCCTATCATTGTGTGTGCGTGTGTGTATGCCTTTATCGATCTACTTGATACTTTCAATCCTTGAGATAGGCGTCAAAGTGACACTGTGTATCTTACTCATTATATATCTTGTGTTGTAATCCTTACAATATCTCATGAATCACCGCGTGTTTGATGTTCTCCGTACGATAAACCTCAAAAAGAAATATACATTGTACCGAATTGAATTGAGATCTAAACTCCCACTATGCCTGCATCAATGAAAGCGGTTATGTCCTCTCCCAACGTGACGGTGCGCATGTCTACTCTTCACTGGAAGTGTAGCATCACGACGGGAATTCGTCTTCTTCGCAACGCTAGATCCAACCCAAGCATTCCAGTTGGACAAGTCACTGACACACGTCGCGTTAATCGACTGACCAGCCACACTGGCCAGCGTCTCCCCATCCCGGGTGATACTAACCACTACCTTCCCAGTCGCACTACCATACTCCACGGCACCGTGGTAGAGTCCTGCGCCGCTGTTTCGGCCATGTTTGGCCCAAGTGGCGCCCAGCGACGTGCCACCAACAGTGACAGAGACATTCGCATGCGAATGCAACATTGCTGAGTAGAAGATTTTATTCTCAGCAACTTCAGCGGGCGGGTATAGCGTCTGTCCCTCACTAGCCGTGTTACCGGTAGTACCTCCTGTGCCGCAGGACTCCGACGGGTTCGGTCGGTACCAGGTGACGATGCCTTCGTCGCCGAGAGTTGCGTTTCCTTTCACGTAAGTGTCGATCGCAAAAGGAAGAAGGTCTCTCCATCCATCATGGGGCATGTTCTCGATGTAGTTCAGCGGTGCACCACCAGTCGTCATGAGACTAATTGCATCTTCACGAATGGGACCGATGTAGTGGCTTTCGCCGTAGTCGTTCCAGGTAAGGATCTCCACCCACTCCGGCTGCAGATCCCAGATCTGCTCCCACCGATCGTGCCACAGGCTATCACCGCGCCATAGCCAGTTCTTGCTGTATGAGGCGAGGTTGGTGTAGAACCACGGAGAGGCAGGCATCATGTAAGGGATGTCGAGATCGAGGTAACTGAGATCAGTGGCATTGCTCATGTTGTTCGGACCGGAAGGCCAGGCACCCCAGCTAAAAAGGCCGTCGACAATTCCTCCACCGCCAGCCTCATAGGCGCCCTCTGCGCCGAGAGAAGACCAGTCCGGGACGAAGAAGCAGTCTACCTGAGATTTGATGGACTTCCAGTCCGTCGCGTAGGCGGTACCCTCGAAAGTAGAGACGAACGCCTTGCCGTTGTACTTGTAGTGGGCGGAATTGGAGGCGTATTTGTTAAGGTAAGTGAGGATGTCGGATTCTGGCCAGGCACCGGTGCCTCCTTCGTAGTCGAAGGAAAAGAAAAGCTTGAAGTCGACTTTTTTGGCTGCTTCGAACGCGAGAGCAGCCTGCGTAGCAGTGGACGAGTCACCGTAACCCATGTTCAGGGCAAATGCGTCGATATGGGCCTCCTGGGCCAGTGTCATGTCATCTTCCCAGTCTGAGAGTGTGTAGTTCCATGCGTTGCCGACGATGAAGTGGGCGAACACGGCGGCGCCCAGCGCCTGCTTAGCCCATAGAAGCCCGAAAAGGGCAATGAACAAGAATCTCATCATCGTGAGGGCGTCTAGCCTATCTACACGAGTAAAATAGAATTGAAGAATTGAGTATGAACTGTGGTAGTTCGATAAAAGAGTGACTGTGGGCAAAGAGCCCGAGTGGGTGGTGAAGGAAAGTGGGCGTGATGCTGGGACTGGTTCGGAGGCATTCGAGTCTTTATAAACGGCTCCCGTATGCGAGCCAATCAATACTCCGAACCTGGCGATGCAGGGTTGTAACCAATAGGAGGATTTTTTCTATCCCATCTGCAATATTGGGATAGACTAATGCAAGCCGTCAGGATGAATGTGGCATGTCACAGGCTGGTTGCCATAGGGCGGGGCGTTTGCTAGATCCATTTCCGAGTGTACATCCATCGCGTGGGTCGATGTGAGGGCAATCAGGAACATTCTATCCAGTCATGAGTCATTTCGTCGCATGCGAGAAAGCCTCGTGGGAAATTAGTATGGCGTGAGTGTGTAATGGACCCCAAGTTTGTTGCTTAAGATTGAAACCATCGCTAGGGGAGATTAATTCATTTGTCGGCCAAAAAGTAGACAAAGGATCGGAAAAAAAGAACAGAAGCTTATCAGGACGATGTGGTCAGTGCAATTTAATCGGAATGATCTCATTTACGGTTCGCCAATGAACGCCGTTAGCTTAGATTCTGAATGGATCCGAAGGTGCAACGGCGCAAGGCTGTTCACACCAATGGGTTGCGGTTATGCTTAGCGCTGACTCGGTGTTGGTGGGGGCGCTGAGACACAAACACCAGTGTTGATGCTGCGATAGCCCTGCACCCACGCGGATACTTGCATCAATTAACCACCATCTGGGAACACACCAATGAAAACGAACCGCAGCATGGGTGTATGGGGCCGAAAATTCTACGATGAAACGAAGTTATCCAGGGGCTGGTGAAAACTGAAACAGGTTCACCAAGTCTCAACTCACCAACAGCTGACCTGTCAGAAAATTGGCTCCACTACCGCACTTACCAGTTTATGTTGCACAGCGCTTCTGACCGAGGGTTTGAAAAGGATGCAAGGTTGCTGTTAAAGGTCCGACATGAGTCCCTACTTAATTTACTTCCAGAAGGCAACAGAGAGACAACTCCGTCAAATGTGCGAGTCATGCCCACCAGGATCTACACCTTAATATTAATACAACTTAATATAAGGCTGAATCCCAACACCTCGCCCCAAGAATCGATTTTTTGTCTCCATATCTCTCTCCGCTAGTCACTGCTAATTGGTTTGCCACCCCCCTGCGAATATCCTTCATTTGCCCACAGGAACATATTCCTAGCAGCGTACCTGAAATCCAACATTTCCTTGCTCGACGTCTACTTTCTAAACATACCCTGCGCTCTCTCACCGGGTCGGCCTTCCGCGTAGTATCCAGGGGTACCAAGTTACACCAACCCATACGTCCCTCTCATTTGCAGCGGCTGACCTTGGATCTATCTAATTAAATTTATCTTTCGATATTTATTTCCGCCTAATTACGAAGCCCATTAGGAATTATGGCAAAAGTACGCAGAGAAACACGCCAGGAGCTGGGTTTGTCCGCCTCGTAGTCCTTTAGTGCATGTTGACGAGATACTTGATTGGATTGTAACCTACTCCACAGCAATTATACTAATGCAAGTCCTTATCTCGGGCCTTGGAATTCATAACATCCAGAAATGTGAGTGTCATACACCTAGTATCACCGACAGCGGTCGATAACATTCGTACCTGGGCGCTGGACTCCCACACCTTCAGCATTCTCGGATGCTAAGCATTCCTCGCGAGCTTTCCCATTTTTCTGGCTTGACTGATCGCATGTCTTCCCTTAAGTTGCTTTTCGGTCATACTTAGATGAAACCGACCATGCAAAGTCGCTGTCGCGAGAAGAATTCAGTAAATCATCCACCCGTGGACTGGATCCGATGAGATGAGACTAAGGGGGCTTGTCAGCCATCATGTCTCCTATGTGAGTTTTGGTAAGAGTCCTGGTCTACCTGCCGTGTAAACAATTCCTGGCAGGCGGATACGGGCAGGGGTTTCATACAAGCTGCAATTGTCTCTATTAGAGTCCTAGGAGCAGCTTATGCAACCTTCTTGGAATAAGGCGTCTGCAACTCAAACGATACTTACAGCGTAAAGCCCTTGCCAAAGATCAATATTGGTGTGTGGTTATCTTAGACTTCCGCTCAGAATAATAGTGGGGTCACAATGCCAGACTATGCGAGTCCCCAAACACAATCTATAGCACCCCCTACCGATAAACCGGGTCCATGATTTTTGGCGTAACGTCTCCGCCCATTAAGGGATGTCTCTCATTCAAGTTACTGACACGTTGACCCATTCTGAAAAGATGCTCGGCCAATCCCCACAATCAGCGAGCAAATTACCTACTCCCGATGTGTACACTTCCTCACCGTTCACCCCGCTCGCCAACCCGTCCAGGTACATATCACTCTGTTTCATGGCCTCCCAGAATTCTGACTCTCGGATACTCCCGTTCACCATGGGGCAGCGGGTCGAAGGTG